CACTTATGTTTTTTTCTTAAACTTCCTGAAAATTTTACTGACTTGTACTTAATTCATATTTCTAAAAGTGACATAACTCAATTCAAATTTCAATAGCACTCAAATTACAGCTGAAAAATTAGTATGTGAAGGGAATAGGATGAGGTGTTGAATCCCCCCACATTTTGATAGTATTCTTCTATCTGTAATCTACACAGACTCTTGTCTGCTACATTTATGTATAATTATTCCATTACAAAAAAAACCTGTTAAATAGTTTTTGAATAATAATTTCCTGTTATACGGTAATCGAAAAAAAAATATATCAAAGATTTATTTTTACCATACAAGCCAATGTTCTAAAGTTTCAAGGATAATAACTTTTTTTTTGGCGTGATGTCTAAATCAAACTTTTAATCATTTTAGCCTAGACATACAAGATTTAACTGGACTGAAATTATTTTTTTATTTTTCTGCTAGTCAAGATGTCTCTGTTTCCTGAATTTCCTCCAGATTATGCGGTCTTTAAAACACTGAAATATTTTCTAAATAATATCTGACTGCATGTCCAGTGGGTTACACCTGGCGTCAAGCCCAGTACATGGTAAAGGACAGAGAGTAGTGGAGGCACTTTGTTGTGGCCTTATGTCCCACTGGGGATGAAGTGGATAAGTAAGTAAGTAAATATGTCCAGATAAAGTTTTTTTTCAATATAACTTTGCCAAATCTATCAAATTCCCTTTGGGCAAATTTGACCATAACTACTTTTTTGCTATTCAATTCAGACCAATTTCATTTTTTTTTTAAATTTAAATGAGCATATCTTTGGGTTTTCCAAATTCTTGATGAAGCAAAAGCCATAAATATGCATCAAATATAATTCATAATAAACTGACTGACTATTTTTTTAAAAGAGTTACTTCTAAAAATAAAACATTAATGAACACTTATGCAATTGCTTAATTCTGTAGGGTAAATCTTTTAAGCCTATACATATTAATAGAGTAAAAATCATTTAGTTGTCAATCTGAGAAAAAAAAAGCAAAAGCCAAAAAATTGTGGTATTATGTAAACATGTAACTCTACAGGACTTCACTTAAAACACTCTCATAACTCAGATTTTTGCACATTTCTTGTGCCAAAACACATGCTTTTAAAATTTTGAAGATCATTGAAACAAGGTTTCCACTTTTTGTATTGTAATTAGAAACACACAAAAGAACCATCATAATAACTTGTTTTAATGTAAAATCTAATTCTACTAGGTGTAACTTCAAATCATAATTTACGCTTATTTTTTAGCGTCTTCTCAGTTTCAACTATTACACAGAAGATGTTATGTTAATTCTGAATTAAACTGAGCAATTTAGTCTTAGACATGATTTTTTTTTATTATTTGTTATTGGCTTTGAACTATATCTAGCTGTCAGTAACTGTGAGTACTCTCAGATCTGTACTTATAGTGTCTTTTTTGTTGTTAGGGATGTACAAATACCATGCCACGTCCAGTCTGTGTTTGTTATATGTTTTTTCTGCTTTGTATTGATCTGATGAGTTAAGTCCTTTTTAACTGATTTTTATTGTTTGTTCTTATGTTGTGCTATAATTCCACTGTCCCAGGTTAGGCGAAGGGTTGAGCACTCACAAACATGTTTAACCCCACCACATACTTTATAAGCAGGTCCCAAGTCAGGAGCGAGTAGTTCAGTAGTTCATGTCTGTCATATCTGTTTTCCGTCAATTGTTTTGTTATAAATTAGGCTGTTGGTTTTCTCAACTGAATTGTTTCATATTTTTCAGGTCAGGGCCTTTTAAAGCCAACTATACAGTATGGGTTTTTCTCATTGTTGAAGGCCGTATGGTTGCCTATAATTGCTTACATCAACTTCATTCGAACTTTGGTGGATAGTTGTCTCATTGGCAATCATATCACATCTCCTTATTTTTATATTACTATAAAAATATATTTAACATTAAAATATGTCCATAGGACACAATGCCCCCTCGCTCCATCACATTTCCATGTGAAATGAACAATGAAACCTTGTCAAAACCTTTACTTGGTAAATTTTTCTAAAAGTTCACATCACAATGAAGAATGAACTTGTGTACTACAGGTAAGTTTCAAGTTGATGTGACCACAATTTCATGGTAAACCACATTCATCCCAACTGCTAACCTGATATAGGATAGACAATCAAACAGACCAACAGAAGGAAGCAAAGACCAGCAAACATTATTCTTTGCTTCTATCCTAGACAGGCAATAAAAGGTTAACCTGAATAATTCTTTTAAAAATTGAACACGACAGGACAGCAAACTGCAGCAATCATCAATACCCAACTTATAGACAAACAAAATGGAAGCTAGTATGTCAAAGTCTATTGTAGGAATGTTTGGCAACTAACTATTTAAAATTGAGAATGGAAATGGGGACCAATTTAGTGTTGAATAGGTTACACAAAATTTTAGATAACAGCTTAATAGTTGTAACTTAAAACATTATGAACACTCACATTTTCATAAATCTCCCTAAAACAACTTAGGCACACTTCATAGACCTCCTATTTTCTAAAAAAATGCTAAAATGCTTACACAGCAATAAATTTCAAGGACATTTTTTACTTGAATTCATATAACACTGTCTGTGTCCTGTAGAGGAAGAGATAACGTTTTCTTACTGTCAGTTCTTCCTACTTTTGTCCATATTGATTTGGCCTTAAGCTTTTGTAAAAACAATAACACGGTGAATCAATTAAGTGCATGATAGTTAAAATAAAGTGCACAGGAAGTAAGTAAAACATACAAACGAGGAACTTACATATTTTTTTACAACAAGCAATATATAAATATAGACAAATTGATTGCTTAAGAATGTTCTATAGGATGCAATTCTGTAAATATAGACAATGCAATTTCCCCTAGGAACTCCTTTTACGGCTAAAACTGTGCCACTTTTACTATGAAGTTTCATAAAAAATTATATCCTAGAATGAAAAGTTCATATGCACTACTTTTTTTTTCAAGGTTCAATACATAGGGCTGTGCGGCATATTTTCAACATTTATATGCCCTGAACTTCTAAGAGTTAAAACTTATACTAAAATTCTGTACTACCCCTCCCTTCACATTGGGTCTTCCTCACAATTCAATTTGGCCACTATCCATGTGTATTTATACTGGTAACATTCCCAAGTTATGTATCATTATATATCTCCCAAAAAGAGGCCTGATTTGTGAAACAGCTGTATTTTCATTGTGCAACTTATAGAGGTAAATTCAATAAATAAATATACCTCACCAGGGACCGCCCATTTGGGGGACAGCTTTCTGTATAACTCTGAAGTCCTGTGCTCTTCTGATTGGTAGATAATGTTTGTAATAAATATTTTTTGATAAATAGATCAAAACTAGAGTTAAAAAAATAAACAAGAGGCTCTCAAGAGCCTGAATCGCTCACCTTAAACATTTTGCTTAAATCTTTCATCAATGATTATTTTTGCTTTTCAATATATATTAATGAGTGGCTTAAAAATGCCATTTAAATGTTCTTTGTATCTGTCATATTTTTTACAAAAGCAAAAAAAATGCATTTTATCCCTATGTTCCATTTTACCCATAGTGGCTATGTTTCTTGACATACAAGGAAATAAAATACAAAATTTATACTAGATACTCCGAAACTCATTCAGCCCAAGTTTGGCTGAAATTGTCTTAAGGGCAATAACTCCTTAAGGGGCCAATTGACAATTTTGGTCATTAAATTTATTTGTAGATCTTACTTTGCTGAACATTTTTGCTGTTAACAGTTTATCTTTATCTATAATAGTATTCAAGATAATAACTGAAAACTGCAAAATTTCCTTAAAATAATCAATTATGGGGCTTTAACCTAAAATCAGATACCCGATTTGGCTGATAATTTCAGGGCAGGTAGACCTTGACCTAATGAATACTTTATCTTCTTGTCTGATTTGCTCTATATAAATGCTTTAGTTTTTGAGATATAAGTCAAAAACTGCATTTTACCCTTTGTTCTATATTTAGCCATGGCAGCCATGTTTTCTGAGGAAACAGAAAATAAAACACAAAATTTATGCTAGATAACCTAAGAATCATTCAGCTTAAGTTTGGTTTAATTTGGTTCAGTAGTTTCAGTGGAGAAGATTTTGACAATTTTAGTCATATAAACTTATTTGTAGATCTTACTTTGCTGAACATTTTTGCTGTTTACAGTTTATCTTTATCTGTAATAATATTCGAGAAAATAACCAAAAACTGCAAAATTTCCTTAAAATTACCAATTTAGTGGCAACAACCCAACAATGGGTTGTTAGATTCATCTGAAAATTTCAGGGATGATAGAACTTGATCTAATGAACATTTTACCCGTGTCAGATTTGCTTTAAATGCTTTGGTTTTTGAGATATAAGCTAAAAACGGCATTTTACCCCTATGTTCTATTTTTAGCCATGGCAGTCATGTTTTTAGACGAAACAGAAAATAAAACACAAACTTTATTCTAGATACCCTAAGGATCATTCAGCTTAAGTTTGGTTGGAATTGGTTCAGTAGTTTCAGAGGAGAAGATCTTTGAAATAATTTACCTCGGACTGACGACGACAGACGCCAAGTGATAGCAAAAGCTCACATTTTCTTTTAGGAAAGGTGAGCTAAATAATGAATGCTGAATGCACTTATTTTTTACCACAGTGTTAAAAAGTCATGGGGGTCTGTATAGGAATTTAGTGCGAATCTACAGTGTTTGTAAACAAGGCCATGTGAATGCCCCAAAATGCCGCATGACCCTATGTTTTTATTGTTGTAAAAGATGGGGCTACATTTGTAATTTAATGGATGATATATGAAAGCTTCTAATTTCTAAAGGTAAATCTGGTATAAATTTAATTCAAGACATAGATTTGCATTAAAGTCAAATGGAGATTTTTTTACTGAATTTACCACTATATAGGTTACACAGGTACTTTTGAACAGGCAATTATTACAAAATGCATACTTACTTTCGCTGAATAAGTAAAGCAAGCTCTGTCTGTACTTTAAGGTATTCTTGAGCAAGCTGTAACGAAAAAAAAAACAGGATGGGTTAATATTACAGTAAAAACAGATGAAAACTAAATGCATGTGAGCGTTTAGAGATATATACAATGAAAACTTCAACTCCTATATTATGACTATATATATATACCATGATGCTTGGTCTATATACCACACAACAAATGTTTGTGGAAATAAATCATAGATATCTACACAAACTATGTGTCTGATAAAAAGATTCAAATATCTTTAATATGTTAGTATTATATATGATATTAGTGTATAAAACTTTGGATTTTGGTAATAATCGTAAGATTAGTGATGGCCTCAGTCATCTCCCCTTTTTCACAGATATCTGTCTTAAGTAAGAGATAGAATATGGGAGGAACAAGCAGATGGCATCAGACCATCAAAGGGTCAAGTTAAAATTAATATCAAATCTTCTCTGCAATAAAACTAGTATGTGTTTACTTTGCTAAATAAATTTGGATGTAAAATAAGAAGATGTGTGGATTGCCAATGAGACAACTATCCATAATAGTCCAAATGATGTGGATTTAGGCAATTACAGGTCACCCTTTGGCCTTCAACAATGAGCATAGTCTGCTATAAAAGTCAGAGACGTGACAAAATATGAAACAATTCAAGAGAAACAATCTAATTGCCTAATTAATGACAGAACAATAAAAGGAAAAAACAACCAAGGAACCATAGGCCCCAACTTAGGACACACACATAGAGAATGTGGCTGTGCAACACATCCCTGCATAGGCCCAAAGGATGTCATTAAATAGTAAACATTACAAATTTCGCAACAATCATGTTTATCAGCAAATGTAAACAAAATTTCTTCTGTACAAACATTCACTCTTCTTTACAAATATCACAAACAGCATAAATATTTGAATCAAACTTAAAAGTACAATGTAGTCTGCTTTTGTTGTATTATATGCTTAATTCCTGGCCTCATCTTCATCAGGAACAGCAAGTGCAAAAAAAAGAAGGGAAGCAGAGGGAGATTAAAACATAATGGGAGCTGTAAAAACAACTGTGATTTAAAAGAATAAACAAAAACAAACTTATCTTTGCCATAGAAAGTATCCACCTATTGCAACAGAAAAGTTCATCTTCAGTTATTTCTTTTTTTCTTTTTAGACTTTTAAAGATCAAGTAGGAGTAAACATAATGAACTGAACAAACGAAAAAGTTTTAAATTTAGATCGATTCACATGAAACGTACATAATTGAATTAACATATCAATATATCTACAAGACATTTATTCAAAATCATGAATTGCCATTTATGAACTATTATTTTACTGTTGACATTTAACATTTCTCCAATTAGTCAACATAATTGACAAATTATAAATGTGAAAGCGTTTTTCTTTTTCCTTCATTCTTTATATTATGCAAACTAATTTTTCCCTTATGGGCAATATTTCTTAGTTAAGTCCATGTGGATAATAAAGAGCTGCGCCATGAGCGCATGTCATCATCATACACCCATCGCTTTTAATGAATAAAGCTTAAGTTCCATAACTCCTCAATGTCATATCAGAAATTTATAAAAATAAATGGGGAATGTGTCCATTGGACACAGATGATGCCCCCACTTGCATATAATGTTATAAAGGGATATAACTCAAGAACTATAAAATTGACGCTACCCAAATTTGTACTTGATCTGAGTATCATAAAAACTCTAATCCTATGTATAATCTGTGTGTCTGAAAATCCAAAACAATTAATCAAAATCAAAAATGCCTGTACCAAGTCAGGAATATGACAGTTGTTTTCCATTCGTTTGATGTGTTTGAGCTTTTGAATTTTCCTTTGAGTTAGGTATTTTTGTTGTTTTACTTTATTTCAAAGAGTTCTTGCCCTTGAGCCCGATTAGGAGTTATTTTATATTGAAAAGTCTGGGTGATAAGCTACCTAAATAAGCATAAATCACAAGTGCTTCGTAGGAGTTACCCTCCACATAGTTATCAGCAAGAAGCAAACTAAATAAGTATTTTTAATCACCAGTGTTAAGTAGGAGTTACCTCCCCCATTGTTATCAGAATGCATCAAATAAAAAGACTTTGTTCATGGACAAAATTATTGAGAGGAAATATCTTTGATTCCATTAAACACTTCTACAAATACACACACAAGGCATCAATATGTATCATTGTCGTTTCTTTTGAAACCTATTCTGACATCGGACTCGGACTTCTTTTAAACTGAGTTTTACTGTGTGTATTGTTGTGTGTTTGTTTATTCTACATTGGCTAGAGGTATAGGGGGAGGGTTGAGATCTCACAAAACATGTTTAACCCCGCCGCATTTTTGCGCCTGTCCCAAGTCAGGAGCCTCTGGCCTTTGTTAATCTTGTATGTTTTTTAATTTTAGTTCATTTATATGTTTTGGAGTTTAGTAGGACGTCCATTTTCATTGAACTAGAACACATTTTCATTTAGGGGCCAGCTGAAGCCCGCCTCTGGGTGCGGATTATTTCGCTGTGTTTAAGACCCATTGATGGCATTCGTCTGTTTTCTGCTCTTTGGTCCAGTTGTTGTCTCTTTGACACATTCCCCATTTCCATTCTTAATTTTATGAACTCAACATAAGTGACATTAAAATAAAACTAAGACTTTTTTTTCTCTGTCCCATGAAGAGTTATCTCTCTTTTGTATGGTATGTAAGAGAACTAAATTAAAGTCATCTTATAGTGCAAATAGTATTGTACAATTTTTTTATTTTATGTCCTTGGTATCTTGCCGACATATACCACACTCCACATGTCTACTCATTTCAAATGGACTTTCCTAGAATGATGGGAAGTCGGACCAAAAAACATAAAAACCTAAACTATCATTGAACAAATGATACAAATGCATGTTTAATTATTTGTCATTTCAGGAAATACTAAATGCAAATACTGTGAAAATTTTAAATGTAAGTTTTTTTTTATCTTGTTGCAATTTTCGCAATAATAAAAACATCACAAAATTTTCTGAATAAAATTACAGTATTTATATATCTGTATATAAAAATCTGGTGCTTGAATAAATGTTTATACTATGGCAATAATATCTTTGGGGTAAAAATTCAGTGTGCCACAACGAAGCCATCAAATCAAAGAAGTTAAAAAAAAATCATTATTAGCATTATAATACATTATTATGCAAATTAAATGCATATTCATAAGAACATGGATAATGTGATGTCAGTATAAACCAGCCACATTACAGAAAGCTACTTAAATAAATTGTAAAAGCATTTAGCAATAAAATATGAAACTATAATCCACTTGATGTTGTAATGCCTTCATAGCACATCAAAATGATATGTAAAAACACAGAATAATGCTGAACAAATGCATTTAGTATTTGGCAAAAAATAGTTCCATCAAAAACGTCACGGGAGAATAAATGTTTTATTTTCTGCAATTTGTGAAAGGGAGCATTACATTTATGGAATTAATTGATATCATGTTCATTCAATATGAGGATTTTTTTATATAATGTTTTTTTTTTATAGATATATAGAAAATACTGCCCTTAATATCAGTTATTATGTGTTTAGTCAGTGTTTAATTTAGGACATTAAACATGAATTAAGCTGCAGAAATGAATGTATTACATATTTTAAACACTTTTACTTGAATTGAGTTCTGTTGTGTATAATAAGGGAGCTACCATTTGATTTTTATCGGGGGGGGGGCTAGGATGAAAAATTCTGTCCTGCATTTTTTTTTAGTTGTAATCTCTGTCCTGCCTTTTTATTTTTCACTCTATTCGGTCCTGCCTTTTTTTTACCTAAATTGTCATCCTGACTTTTTTTTTTTGCAAGTGTCTCATCCTGCCTTTTTTTTTAACTCAAAACTCCTGTTCTGCCTATTTTTTCAAATTTCATCCTAGCCCCCCCCCCCCCCCCCCCCCCCTAAAAATCAAATGGTAGCTCCCTAAGAACACAATTAAAAACAGCATTTGATACCAATTGATTATCTTTAAGTCATTTTTGGTTCTGGTCAAGATTGCTACCAACTCTGAAGGGTCAAGCACTTATGAAACATAACATTGTTTTTACAAACTCCAGCAGGTTGGTAGAGAGCAAAGAGTCATTCAAGTTAAAAATATCATACCAAGAAAATATATCAGATGTTTTCCTGGACAAAAAAAACCAACATTACAGGGTGATGGATGGATGGATCGGCCGGTTACATCCAGTGGCAAATATAACATGCATATCACGAGGAGAACATTTTGATGTGATATGAGTATGAATCCTGCTTTGTTACTATGATAGTATTGCAGATTAAAAAAAAAAATAAAGAAGTCATGCATGTGCAGCAAATTTTGAACACAACAAAAAGAGGGGCAAAAATTACAATAAGGGGATCAAAATATTTTTCCATGTCTAATGGGTGGTAAAGCTACATCTTAATCTAATTATTTTTACTCATAATACTAATGAGATACAAATTAAGGCTTTGGAGTATAATTGTACACATCTTGCATCAACTTTAAAAACAGCAGCAAACTTAAACATATTGGTCAATTTATGATTCCAACCTCCTGTCCAAATTACCTAAATTCACATATATAAACAATTAATGATATCAAATCATAATAAACAAACAGTTAAAAATCCTTTTCTCCATTGAGGAGCAGCCAAGTCGGATGGTAACCTTGTCAAGATCTATTACCTACTATTATATATTAGAAAAACTTCAAAGTACTGATGCCTTTATCTAATGTTTCATGTTTGATGGTCTGTGAAGTTTGATGTAAAGATTTAATAATTTCCACTCACTGCTGGGATTATAAATTTAGACTTGATTTATTGATCACCGTTAAAAAAATCTTTAATTATTATAATAGGCATGTTTTAGTATACTTTATGGTATCCATTTGTAAAGGGCATCTAAAAATGCTGGTAAAATAATTTCATTGAACATTATTGGTTTTTTTCTTCAAATATATGATATCATTTAAAGCAAATAAAACTTTTTTCTTCTTCAAATACATGTAA